AAAATATTTAGGTCTGCAATTAGCGGGTTTGCGCTTTAGCGAGCTGGTGCCCACCACTGATTATAATTATTTTATTTTTTTAACGCTCACCTCTAAAACTCAGCGATAAGCTAATTTAATTATTTTTCCTGCCTGATTCTGTCTTTCTAATATTTTTTCTGCAAAGTTTGACCACGATTCAGCATGAAACAATCAGCAGCATGTCGTTTCTCCTGCATCCACGTTTACCTCGCACGTTCCCCTTCTTCTCTTCTCGTCTCCTGGCACCTGTCCCTCCCCCACCCCACCCTCCGCCCCCGCCTTGTTACCTTTTCCTCTAACAGCGGCAGTAACGAGACTTCGATCTGACCTGTTAGGGAAACCCAGACCAGCCCGCCGCTGTGAGACGAGGAGGAAGAGGAGGAGCTCCGCTGCAGGAGGACGGCCGAGCAGAAGGGACGGAAAGGAGCAGGATGCTGAACATTTATTTTTTAGGTAATCCCTCCTCTTGTTCCCCCCCCACTCTTTCTCTTGCTGGGGAGCAGTATTAACGGCAGACGTTAGCTCTGCCCGGGACGTTTTAAAAAAACTAAAAAAAGACAAGAAAGGGATTTGTGTGGGACTGTACCGAGAGCCGGATCTGGAGCCACGCGTGCCAAAAACCCACTAAAAGCAAGGACAGTAAGTTGGTCGAACKTCGTGGTCGAAAAGTTGGGCAGCTTCTTTCTAACAGGAAGTGAGAACAGGCACATGCTGGTGCAGTGGTATTTGTAGTCCATAAGGATTTCAAAGGACTACAACTACCTTCAAACTCTGACTTTAAACACTGGAAGTGCTCTTTTTTTGTGTGTTTTACTCTTCTCAGTGTAATTATTCTGTACATATATTTTTTAAAGTTAAAGAGTCTATTTTGTATTTGATTTGTATCACTTTTTTGTAAAGAAAAACCTTTTTTTTTGTTCTGTTTTCACTCAGAACAAAGTCTGTGTGCCTTCATTCTGAGCTAAAGCCTCGCTCACCTTCACTTATAGGTTAGACTAAGTTTTAACTCTAAAAAAGTAGAYTAAGACTCAACAAAAGGGCTTAAATGTGCTTTAAAGGGATAGTTTGAACATTTTAAAGTGGGGTTCTGAGTAGATACATCTCCAGTTTGGAGAAATAGATTATTTTTGACCTAAAAGACAAGCTAACGGCTAATCAAAATGTAACCAAAGTGGATTGTTGCCATCTTAAAAGCATCACTTTTTAATGTTTTAGTCGTTTAATGATTATTTAATTAATTTATCAACCACTTTTTTCAATGAATCAGTTTATCAGCCTTAGCAAACCATGAGATAAACAAAAACTCGTAAATTAAAGCACAAAATCTGGGTTTAACGTGCCAATTTTAGCATAACAAACAAAAGCTCCTGTTTACGTCTTATTTCTATCTTAGATTTCAAAATAAAACCATGAGACAAGCAGCATGTTTTTTGTTCTGTTAGCTCATCAGTCCTGTCAGATTTAAATCAGGGAGCTATCTACGACAAGTAAGATATTGATTGTTCATTAAAATCTCCACTTGAAAATGTTCAAAGCATCTCTTTAAATATTTATTGTTTTACAACTCGGCTGTCCAGTCGGAGCACTACGAACCGTAACGTTTGATTTTTCCACGTGTCCGTCCTGCCTGTTTTATTGTTAGCATTTATTAAATAAAATCATTTTTTAATTGAGACAAGTTCAAAAGGCACCAACGCTCAGTTAAATTAAGGCAACGTAGAATGTTTTCCACTTATTAAATGTTTGTTTGTTTTTGTATCTTTATGCTTCTTGTAATGGATGCTGTTAATAAATGTTTTTGTTTTTGTATGATCCAAGACACTGGAAATGATTTGTAA